CTGGTGCAATAAAAATTATTTCATTGATTAAATAACATTTTTAAAGAGAAATTTATACTGTATTTAGGAAGATAATTAAAAGCATCTTATAGGGTGGTGAATAAGAGATTGAGGCTTTTCTAATCAGATAACTATTAAAGGTTATGCTTTTCTAATATGCATTATAAATTGGAAGGAAAGACAAATATAGAGTAGAGGGATATCAACTCTGGATGTACACTCACCTGGTAGATATATGTTATGCCTCTGCCATGTGTAATCTCTTGTTTTAGACGCTGCAGAAGTGCAAAGATTAATCAAATATGCATTATTTCTTCAAATAGCTTACTTAAGATAGTAAAGAACATAGGATAGGTACATGAATAACAGAGTTGTGAGATACAAATGATATCTCATGGGAATTCTAGAGAGCAGCACTTACAACTATGAGTATCAAAGTGCTACAGAGGAAAGTATTTCAGACGAGGGAATGGGCCAAAGCTCTGAATCAATAAAGAATATGGCATGTATGGGAACCTACGGGTAGTTTATGTGAACGGTTAAAACAAAGAGTTTGTGGGGGGTACATTGGAAGGGCAGATCAGGATAAGATTATGGAGTGAAGGCAAGAATTATATTTTAATTATTATTTATAGCTGCTAGCTATAAAATCATCCTGCCAGGTGCATAGTAGGTATACTCTCAAAATATTGGGATTATAGGTGTAACCCACCACGCCTGGCCACTTTTTAAGACATATGAATTTTAGGTGCCAATAAGGTATGTCACTAATAAAAGTAGTCGAAAATGCAGGATTCACTTGGTAAAAAGGTTAATGTTGGGGATAAGACAGTATGAGTCATTTGTGTGGATGTGTTACTGAAGCCACCTGCATAGATACAGCCTTAGGAAACCCATTTCCAGAGGGTCAGTAGAGACAAAAGATGAGTCAGAAGAGAAGGTACCAAACTATATTGCACTGGGTATAGCTTAAGAGGGGATGAGTTTCAAGGCAGGAGGGATGGTGAATTAGCTGTGTTGTATGATAGAAGGAAGTCAAAGAAGATGAGGACTCAGGAAAGATCTGTGCATTTGGTGACCAGATCTACCACAGTTTTACCACAGAATAGTACTGAGGGGAAGAGGAGAGGGATGTTGAGGAATCACTGTGTTGAGTGTCCCTGATAATTTTCGTGAAGTAAAAGGTAAAGATATTTTCAGAGAGTAAGGATTACTTGCCTGAGCCATTACATACAAGGAGATTAGAAAATGGAGCCTTGGCTTGGGTAGTGTTTAAGGAAATTAATTCTGTTAAGATGTAAGGATTACCTTTTTATGTTGGCTGCTATTTAGCATACTACTGGATGTCTCACCAAATATGAACTCCCTGTAACTGACAGCGTTCAGTGGCTGAATCACCATTTGTTGGGGCTGTTACAGAACATGCCTCTGTATTGGAAAAAAGACTGGATTAGAATGGAAATCTGTGGAAATCAATTGGTTATATTTTTAGATTGCCTGGTCTTGAATATGCAATTGGCAGGTGGAAAACCAATTATTTATATTTTCTCATAGAAAATTTTCTGAGAGACATGAGACTTACTTCAAATTTTAAAATTTTAATAGTGATAAAACAAAAGACTATATTAATTATTCCACTGAATTCTTAACAGTGATGCTGGGATGTGGATGTGAAAACTGAGAATGCAGTTAAATGTGACTCCAGAGTCACTTAGCTGGTTAAAAGAGGGAGCCAGGAACTCAGTCTGTTTGATTAAAAACTCATGTCCTTGAGATTCTGCTTGTTTTTTAATTAGTTGATTGACAAGACATTTATACATAGATAATGATCTGATAAAAATCATATGGTGGCAGTAGAAGGACCAGAAGAAATCAGGTTTACAAAAGAGGGGTGGAAGGGCCAGGCTAAAGAGAAATATTTTAAAAAGTGAAAGAGCTTGTCTAGCAAACACACACACACACAAATTATATACTCTTGTATAAATGTATACTTATATACATATACATGTATACATATATGTGTATGCCTGTGTGTATATATAAATATATGCATATATAAAGATGTGTGTTCGTGTGTTCTAAGATACCTATTTTATATAATTTATATCTCTATATTTCTATTAAGCAATGTGCCTTATCCGTATACACTTATGTTTACTTTGTAGTTATCATTAATAAATTTTAATATTTTAATGCAACACAATGAAAATTCTAAATTAGAGCTGTATTTAATATGCAGTACTTTTTTTTTTTTTTTTTTAAGGGAATATCTGGTTTACCAGACCCTTTTATTTTGATCTCAAAGTCATAAAAGACAGAACCTTCCATGTACTGACGGGCACCAGGTTACCTCCAAGTGATAGACTCTTTTACAGTTAAGAAAATGACTTGCTTTGATGAATGCTTATATACAATTTATATAATTTCAGAGAGAAATAAAATTAATGTAGCTGTAGAAATATAAACTATTTGATTTCAATGAAAACAAAGCCCTCTAATCTATAGCTATTTTAATCACCAAACATTCAAAAGATAGTTTTTTTTTTTTTTTTTTTTAAATGCTTTAAGTTCTGGGATACATTTGCAGAACGTTCAGGTTTGTTACATAGTTATACACGTGCCCTGGTGGTTTGGTTTGCTGTATCCATCACCCAGTCATTTACGTTAGATATTTCTCCTACTAATCTGCACTACTTTCAATGAAAAAAAGAGCATCTATACTTTCAGCAAACTATATGTTTTTATAAAAGGGTAAACTCAGGACATTTTTAAGGCCTTTTAAGAAAATTTATGTTGGACAATATGAAGTATGAGGCTGTTTTGGATTTATTAATTATGGAGTTGCTCTGTGTACCCTCTGATTGTTTTCTTAGGGAAAGACAATGTAGCATGTTAGGAAGACTGGCTTTAGAATTATTCTTGTATTAAACAAATATATATTGAGTGCCTCCCTCAGGCACTGTTTCAGGTATTGGGAACATTATAGGGGAAAAGACCAAGTTCTAGAGGGGAGTGTAGTCAGGCAAAGCTTTGGTTTCTCCTGTTTTCCCCTCACACACACTATAGCCTGTAGACTGTCCATTAGTAATATGGATGATGAAGGAAACAGGACAGTGGTGTGGTGGTTAATGAGGGTTGGAGAGAGGATTTAAGGGTGATCAGGGAAGTTAGTTTTGAGAAGACGTGTTAGGCCATTTTTGCCTTGGAAACCTGAGACTGGGTGATTTATAATGAAAAGAGGTTTAATTGTCTTACAGTTCTGCAGGCTGTACAAGTATGGCACCAGCATCTGCTTGGCTTCTGGTGAGAGTCTCAGGAAGCTTAGCATCATGGTTGAAGGTGAAGAGGGAATAGGCCCATGATATGGCCTGAGCTGGAGCAAAAGTGGGAGAAGGGGGCAGTCTCAGACTTTAAACAGCCAGATCTCCTGTGAACTAACTAAGCAGGAACTCACTAAATACCCAGGGGCTCTTGCTAAGCCATTAATGAGGTATCTGCTTCCACGATCCAGTCACCTCCAACCAGGCTCTACCTCCAACATGGGAATCACATTTTACCATGAGATTTGGAGGGCACAGACATCCAAACCATATCAGGAGGCTTTTGAGCTGAGCTGAGTTTTTTTGTTTTTTTGTTTTTGTTTTTTTTTTAGAGGGAGCCTTGCTCTGTCCCCAGGTTGGAGTGCAATGCTGTGGTACAATCTCCGCTCACTGAAACTGCTGCCACCTGGGTTCAAGCGATTCTCTTGCCTCAGCCTCCCGATTAGCTGGGATTACAGGCACATGCCACCACGCCCAGCTTTGTATTTTCAGTAGAGATGGGGTTTCACCATGTTTGCCATGCTGATCTCGATCTCCTGACCTTGTGATCCACCTGTCACTGCCTCTCAAAGTGCTGGGATTATAGGCATGAGCCACCGCCCCTAACCTGAGTGAGTTTTAAGTGATGGAGGGCAGCCACACAAAGCTCTGGAGTAACAGTGTTGCCAGCCTGGAGGAAAGGCAATGGCAAAGGCTCTTAGCTAGAATGAGCATGACCTCTTCCAGGGATGGAAAGAAGGCAGTGTGACTGGGGCCTGGATGGGAGATGTTGTATGAGAGAGAAATAGAGGGAGAAACTGGGTACAGTGGGAAGTCTTGTGAGGGGTTTAGGTAGGGGAGTGAAGTGATTTGATTTATAACTTTAGAAACTTTGTTGGTAGAGAATGGATGGTAGGGTAGGATGACATAAGCATAGAAGCTGGGAGACCAGTTAAGATGGACTGAGGTAGCTTAGATTAGAGATGATAGTGCCTTGGACTAGGGTTTTAGCAGGGAAATGGTGATGGGTAGTTGGATTTAAGATATGTGAAGATTGAAATTTGTCTCGCAGGACTTAATGATGGATTAAATGTAGGAAATGAGAGAAACTGATGAGTCAATATTGACTCATGTTTTTATCTAAGTCAAATTCTGGATTGACTATAGTGGTATCTATAGTCTAAGGGTTGAGCAGATTGGCATAAAAAAATTAGAATTCTATTTTGGACGTGTTAAGTTTGAGATGCCCCTTAGGCATCCAAATGGAAATAATTGAGAGGGTAATTAGATATGTATAACAACTCTGGAGATCAAGTGACTGATAGATATTTATGAGTCATCATGATAATACTTACAGTCAAAAACCTGAGTGAGAACACCTCAAGAGAGAGAATAGTGAAGAGAAGTGAGTCTCTGGTATGGGTGGGAATGTGAGTTCTGATAGCTGTGTGACTTGGAGCAGTTACTTCACCTCTTTTGTTTTCATGTTTCTTGTATTTCACAGTCGTAAGTTGAGATAGGGCTTGTTACATAATGTTTACTCAATAAGTGGTAGCTACTATTATAATTTTTATTTTCAGATGATATTTTATTTATTATGCATATTTAAATTGCCTTTGATGGAAAAAAGACACTTTCTTTCTCCAAAATATCTTACAACCTACTATAAACTTTTTTAAACAGATAGAAATTTTCCTTCAGGACTTTTTTAACCGGAGAACTATGGAGAAAGGCTAAGGAAAAGTATAGGAAAGAAAGAGATCGGCACAGTCCAAACAGCACTGTAACTATGCCTAGGGTACTATTGGTAGCTTTTTTTTTTTTGCTTGTTTGTTTTATCTGTATGTTTCATTCATCTCACATATCTGAGTATGCAACATTTTGGCTTTTTGTCTTATGCGTCTATGTTCTGTACATGAAGGTACACTGTCCTGCTGGGATTTTCAGTTCCCATGTAAAAGCCTTGGGAAGAAAAGTTCTAAGCTGCTGCCAGATCAAAGTAGATCATTTCCTTCTCTTGTCCAGATTGCATTTTGTGCTTGGAATTATATTGAAAATATAATTTATAGCAATATTTCTAAAAGCCTTTTAAATAAATGAATGTTCTGTCAATTGTGTTACAGAGTTACAGATTTTGTCAAGGAAAATTACAATTGATTTTAGACCAGTTGGATCCTGGGCAACCTAAAGAGGTAAGTTTCAAGGATAGCTGTCAGTTCATGCAGATAACATATATTTACAATGTATGAGATTACAGTCAGTAGCAGCCAGGTTGTTTCTCTTGAGGCTAAGCCTTTATGATTATGGGGAATTCTAGACTGATATCCCCGGTAAACTTACAAGTCCAAATGAAAAGTCACAGAGTAAGGGAGGCTTTCCTTAGAGAATTGTCATGGTTTGTAAGAGGAAATTTTTATCTTGAGCATAAATTACAAAGGGATAAAGTTATGGGCAGTTGTCCCCCAAACTGTCCCTTCACTATGGTTTTATATGTAACATTGCAGATAGTCATTTCTTAAGAAAAAAGATTTTTAATTCTTTTTCTACTTTCAGAAAATGTGAACAGCTTTTAAAAATAATTATTTTTAATGGTCAAATAAAAATTGTGTATATTCGTCTTGTACAACATGTTTTATATTATGTATACACTGAGGAATGGCTAAGTTGAGTTGATCTAACATGCATTGCCTCACATACTTATCATTTTTTATGATGATAACATTTAAAATCTACTCTTAGCAGTTTTCAAGAATAAAACATTGTTGTTAACATAGTCATCCTGTTATATAGTAGATCTCTTGAATTTACTCCTCCTAACTCAAATTTTGTATCCTTTGACTAGCATCTACCCATGCCTCCCGTAACCATCTGAGTAGCTTTGACCCATTTGGTTATTTATTAGAAACATGATTTTTTTTTAAAGATAAGGTCTTGTTCTGTCACCTAGGCTGAAGCACAGTGGCGTGATCACCAATCACTGCAGCCTCTATCTCCCCAGGCTCAGGTGATTCTCCCACCTCACCCTTCTAAGTAGCTGTGACAATGGATGCATGCCACCACATCTGGTGAAATTGTGTATTTTTTGTAGAGATGGGGTTTTACCATGTTGCTTAAGAAGATCTCAAAATACTGTGCTTAAGTGATCCACCTGCCTTCAGGCGTGAGCCACTGTGCCTGGCCAGAAAAAATGAATTTTTTTTCTTTTTTTCTCTCTTTCTTTTTTTTTTTCCCTGTATGCTCTGTCCCTCCTGTTGCCATGTGAGACATGTCTTGTTTCCCCTTCACCTTCCACCATGATTGTATATTTCCTGAGACCTCTCCAACCATGGGGAACAATTAGCCCTCTTTTGTTTATAAATTACCCAGTCTGAGGTAGTATCTTTATAGCAGTGTAAAAATGAACTACAGTGTGGAAAATGAATACAATATCCTTGACAATTTTTTGTCTACTTGTCCTATTATTGAGAGAGGGACATTCCTACTGTAATTGTAGATTTCTCTATTTCTCTTCCAGTTCTAATGAATTATGTTTGTTTGTATTTTAAGAGACTATACAAATCACTCTTTATGAAGACTTACTTCATTTGAAAGTCAGCATGAAATGGAAAATATGATAGGATTTTTTTTTTACCTAAGCCTTTTATATATTGATATGTCTATCTTGCCATTTAAAATTTTTTTTTCAAACGCTTAAATTTAAACTAAATGAATAGTTGCGATTTATTCCTACTGAAATTTTCTAAAAAATCATAGAGAGAAATATTTTTTTTTCTTCTCAGCATTTTGCATCATGATTTATTTTCTGGATTCATATTAAGTAACATCTTTCAAAAAATGTTAGAAATGAGTTTTGAATTTTATATGATAAAAATCCTGTTAGCTTTAATTTAAATGGATGATTTGGAAATCTATACTTGTTTAGAAACCTTCATTTTGCTTCTGAAAGTAGTAAATTCTTAATAGGATTTTTCCTAAAACATTACTGAAATGGAAAAATTACTTAACATTGTAAATGAATTTCTAGTTTTAAAAATTCTCTCAATATTTACCTTACCACCTATCACAAATAAAGTTGTATTTAGGAGTTCTTTCATATGAATATATAGACAGTTGCAAATATATGTATATACTATGTTTTTATGTCTAAAAGTTGGATCCTGATTCAGAGTGTCAGATTTGCTGAGGTTTTGGCTACTGTGTCTGAGGCCTCACCATTTTTAATGACGAGGCTTTAGTTGTTTCAGTTGGGAAATGATCAGATTTTGAGTATCAGGTTGGAATTATTGTGTTATTATTCACTACTTGGATGTTGAGTGGGAGAAAAGCTTTGTTCCGTTCATCATTGGAGTAGAACTGTTCTCTGCTACTTTCCCTTGGGTCTTACTGTTTTGAGTGAATTCTGATTGCATTTTGAGAAGACTGATTAAGAAGTAAGCTTTCTATGAAAATACAGAAATTCAATTTTGCATCCCACTGCTGAATGTCTTTTTTTTTTTTTCTACCTAAGTAGTCAGAAGGCCAGGAAATATGGCATAGCAGAAAAACAAGTTCAAACTGATTGTTTTGTGAGAATTGTTCGTGTATCCTAGAATGGGAATGCTTTGCCAAGGGTATATTTGGGCAGCATTTTGAAATTAAAGCCCTCAATCTGTAGGAATGGCCTAGAATGGGGAAAACCTGCAGGACAAGACCACTGGGTAATGTTGCATTGGTGATACTGATTCAACTACCATTCTTCCTCCCATTGACTTATACATGATACCTAAAATCTCCTACTACATTTAGTATTTTAATTGTTGCTTTACACAAACAGCAACTGTTTTTTTCTCTGCTTAGCACTTAGTTTAAAAAATGATTTCTCGAGCTTTTTAATATAAAGGCATGTGATAAATCACTCTTTATAAACTATTCACTTTGCCTTTTAGTAGTTTGTTAAATATTGTTTTGTGATATTTTAGTGACTGTGTGTTAATAAAAATCTTTTTAAAAAATTGTAGATGAGATATGAAGCCTTGCAAACATTATGTTCAGCTCCTCCGTCTGATGTCCTGAACTGTGAAAATTGGACTACTCTCTGCGAAAAACTGACAATGTCTCTTTCAGATCCTGATCCTGTGTTTAGTGTAAGAAAATGGTTATAGAAATATTAAAAATAATTTGTTTTTCCACCATTCTGGAGATCAGTAGAATATGACAGTTATGACAGTTTTTCTTTTTCTTTCTTTCTTTCTTTTTTTTGAGATGGAGTTTTGCTCTTTTTGCTCAGGCTGGAGTGCAATGGCCTGGCCTTGGTTCAAGTGATTCTCCTGCCTCAGCCTCCTGAGTAGCTAGGATTACAGGTGCGCACCACCAGGCCCAGCTAATTTTTGTATATTTAGTAGAGACAGGTTTTGACCATGTTGGCCAAGCTGGTCTCGAACTTCTGGCCTCAGGTGATCTGTCCACTTCAGCCTCCCAAAGTGCTGCAATTACAGTGTTGAGTCACTGTGCCTGGCTGATAGTTTTCTTTAATAGTAGCTCACATGTTTATGGAACTTCAGTTTCGAATTGTCAAAATTTTCCTTAAGGAAATTTTATGATTCGATTCAAAATATGGTCAATATACCCCCATTGCCAAATAATACACTTACCTTGTGAATTTTATCTTATAAAGGAATATTCTAATAGGTTATTTCTGTTTTATTTTGTTTTGTTTTTTGAGACAGGGTCTTGCTCTGCCACTCGGGCTAGAGTGCAGTGGCATGATTATGGCTCACTTCAGTCTCAACTTCCCAAACTCAAATGACCTTCCCACCTCAGCCTCCCAAGTAGCTGGGCACTACAGGCATGTACCACCATACCTGGCTAATTTTTGTGTATATATATATATATATATATATATATAT